ACAAAAAACACCATCCAACATGTGTCAACCATGCCACATAGAGTAAATTGGGACGTAACATGAAGAGAAAGACCAAAAGATAAAGAGCAAGGTGTAAAAGCACATTAGCAAATGTAAAAATAACCCAAGTGCTTCCTAGGGCGAGGAAGAATCACCATCATCATCATACTGCTCCCGACAAAGGATCTGAATTGTGATACACTAGAGTCATAAATAGCTCATTTTATACAGAATAACTACTTGTTACTACTAGATCTAGATACAAAATCCATGCAGAGCTCTACCATACACAGATACGTGAAAATGAAACAAATCTGGCATTGCCTGATTTCTAATGTGCCTGGGAAAACTGCTATTACAATTAAAACAAATCAAAACAAAGCTCCAGGCAGGTCAAGACAAATACAGACAAAAAACGTTTGAGAAGCCCCAGTCCTGAGTCTTTGCAAACTCAGTACTGAGTTAGTAGCAATGACAATACTGTATTTAGTGAGCTACAGCTCTACAGGCTCCTCTTTCCATACACTCAAAGCCATGGGAAACTAATCATAGGGAAGTTTAACAGAAGCATTTCCATCTACCTGGGGGTGCTCCAGCAAGTTTGGTGGTTAAGGCATAGCAACTGGGTTTTGGGCAGGACCAGTGGGGCTCCCATGCACAGGCTGTTATCATATGACCAGTAACAAATTGTGCTGGCACTGTGGGTCCTGGACAATCTTAATCCTCCCAAGTAAATCAGGAGCACCCCGGAACTGTGCGAGGAGCAATCACTGCATGGCCCACAGGAGAGGGATGGGCAACCTGAAGAACTGCGACATCCTACTTCTGACCTCCTCTCACAGGCATCTCTTTTAGCAATCTCTTCTTCTTTTTTTAGGCTAGGGCAAGGGGTAATGTGAATCTCTGATTCTTTCAGTTCTCTGCAATATGTGATACATGTCTGGTAGCTGTTAGCCAGCAGGAAGATTTGTTACCAGTTCAGAGGAGTCCTATGGCTTAAAAAAGGCCCTTAACTTCCAGCTTAAGAAAATAACAGGAGGACAAAGAAAAACTTCGTTCTTTTAAGTAAACCCCAAATAAAACCATTTCAGCAGCTCTGCTGACTGTGGTACTAACTTTCAGACTCCAAGCAAAACAGAGTTTGATCACTGTGGTCAAACCCTACATTCACAGGTCTAATCTACAAGCTAAACAGGGACCTTTCTGCATCAGACAACCAAAGAAGAAAGTATAAAGACTTTATTAGTCAAGATACATGAACTGAGGTTGGGGGGGGGGGGGGGGGTATTATTCTAATTAGGAACAGGAAAATTCCTATTCCATTTTGTAATTAAAACAATACACATTCTACCATCTAATTACATTTGACATTTTCAAGGTGTTGGGAGCTGAAGTCTATAATTACAGAACTACTTCTGCCTCAAGCAGAATACTCCATAAATATTCATGTATTAAATAGCCACTTAGACTGTTTAGAAGATTTTAGAAATGTTATTTCTTTAGAAGCCTCACTTTTAGAGCAAGCATTTTATATCTGTAGTTTTAAAAAGATGGGAAGAAAAACATCCCATGGGATCTGACATACAGTAAATTGACTAGAAACCTATTCATTAGTATTAGATACAGTTATGTTTCACAGTCCTTTGGAATAATTTCTTTTAGCAGAATGGGTAATTACAGTCAGAAATAATATGGGAGTCCTGTAGGGAAGTCAGAAGACAGGAAAATGCAATTCTTATAATTCCTTGATTTTCTAATTAATGATAAAATTATAGCTTAGTGCAGTACTTTAAAAAGAAGTTATCCACATCTTTTATTTTAGTGTCTCACAATAAAATAGCACTTCATATTTTGCCTATTTTTAATAGTTCAATATTGCCATTTAAAACAGTTGCCTGCTTAAGAATACCATAATCAAAGTAGAGGTGGACCTGTGAGCAATGCAGAGCCTGTTGTTCAAGGAGAGGCTTCCCTTTCCTTGACACTGGAGAAACAGAAGGACACAGAATGAAGATGAAACTTGGGAGTGCAAGGTGCTCCATGAGCCTGTCTGCTCTGTGTTTCCATTCTAGAATGAACCATATACACATCTAGATAAAAGGGCATGATTTCTGAGAAGAGCATTAGGGACTTTGCTTATTGTGTCCATTTAGCTCATTGAAATAGGCTTGTGTTCTAAGGTGCTTTGCCCCATGGGACTTGCACCCTGGCTAAGTCATTAGGTATGACTTTCAACTACTTAATCAAAGAATCACTGAATCACAGAGTGGTTTGGGTTGGAAAGGACCTTAAAGCTCATCCAGTTCCAAGGCCCTGCCACAGGCAGGGACACTTCACACTAGAGCAGGTTGCTCCAAGCCCCTGTGTCCAACTTAGCCTTGAACACTGCCAGGGATGGGGCAGCCACAGCTTCTCTGGGCACCCTGTGCCAGCGCCTCAGCACCCTCACAGGGAAGAGCTTCTGCCTTAGATCTAACCTGAACTTCCCCTGTTTCAGTGTGAACCCATCACCCCTTGTCCTGTCACTACAGTCCCTGCTGAAGAGTCCCTCTCCAGCCTCCTTGGAGCCCCCTTCAGACACTGGAAGCTGCTCTGAGGTCTCCACGCAGCTTCTCTTCTCCAGGCTGAACAGCCCCAGTGTTCTCAGCCTGTCTCCATACAGGAGGTGCTCCAGTCCCCTGATCATCCTCGTGGCCTCCTCTGGACTTGCTCCAGCAGCTCCTTGGCTGGCCCAGCATCCAAGGCCAGGTTGGATGTCTGCTTTCCAACCCAAACCATTCTATGATTCTGTGATCCCTGCACATCTGTAAAATGAGCAGTCTGGCCTCTGTTGACTAATTTTGCATGCTTGCCTTACAGTCACTCAGGGACCGCAATCCAGCAGGAAGTGAGGAACAGTGTTATTTAATGCACCCAGCTGAAGAGCTGCAGTTCTCCCTGTGATGGGCAAGAAGCATTTAGTTACACAGTATATAATTATTCCATACATATGATATGTCAGATTACATCACAGTTACATATTACGTATTCATAGTATATGTATTACATATTGTGTATGTTATGTGCCATGCACAGTCTGTGTCTGTAATACTGTACATGAGTGCAGATATCCATATATACATATATATGTACACAAACACAACTTACTGAAGCAAACTTACCAGATGCCTGGTGTTATTTTTGTAATGCTCCTAACACTTAGGGATGCCAATGCACCTTCCCTCCCATTCTACACCATCACAGCCTCTACACCATGTGACACGACAGTGCAATCAACATGCACATCAACAACCAGACAGGCAAAATTCTTCCATTCTCCACTTTATTCTTCCTTAGAATTAAGACACAACTCACCCTCTTCCAATCTGTCCTTCAGGACATCAGCGGTAAGATGTTCTTTTCAAACAGAAACTAAGTTATAGTAAAAGATGTTTCAGTGACATTTTGCTAGAACCCTCCTTTAATCACCCAGAATTACATCTTTATGCACAAAAAAAGTCTGAATTTTAAAAGCCCAAGGTTTGAAAAACTGAAAAAGACCAGTTACTGCAAGAAACCATTGTCCTTCTGCCATACACAGCAGCTTTTGTCCATCATTTATCCAATATAGATATTTATCCAGTTTACCTCTGCTTTTTTATTCCACTGTACAATGGAATGAAAGACACTGATTTTAATCAATCAATTACTTTTGTAAATGAGTACTAAACATTGCAAGAATAATATAATCTAAATATGCCTGAAATGATGTTAGGACAATTCCTATTTCTCATAATGTGAGGTGCTAGATGTAAGAGTTTTCTTCTCAAGAGATGTGATAGAGCCTTATCATATTTTTATGATTTTATTTAAATGAGTCTATTTAGTAGTTGCAAGCTTTTGCTTTTCAGCTGCAGCTAACAGCAAGAAGTTAATGTCATAGCCAACTCAGAAAGAATAGGAAGCAGATAGGCAGTCACATCATATTATCCATAGGTACCTTCACTGCAGTAGAGTCACAGGGAAGGAACCACTGCATCTCAGTGGAGGAGCAGGCAGTTGTTCTAGTGGTGTTCAGTGAGGACTCTGGGAAATAACAAACAAAACATGTTTCTGAGCACTTGCAAGTAGGATACACAGAACAATCACATGTTGCTGGACACAGAACAATCACATGTTGCTGGTCACCTCTGAGTGCCCCCATGCTCTGCTCACTTAGAAACCAATGGCTTCAAAATGCCTTTTTGCTACTTCTCTCAAACAATTCCTTTCACAGAGGCCTCGTGGTTCAATCTCTGCTTTCAGAAGCTGGTGGAATTCATCCCCAGAGGGGCCAGCTTCCCTCTTCATAAATTACTGGCAGTAATTGCGAGGAGTAAAATCACTGAAGAGCTGGAGGATAAAAGACTTGTGAACCAGAGTCATTATGGTTCTAAACAGACCGCGTCTTGCCAAAGTTAATTGCTTTTTTGATAGAATTACACAATGAATGTACAAAGGCAGAACACTGTATTAGCACGTATTTAGATTCCAGGGAAGCACTGGATACAGTATTTCATTACTTTGAAACGTAATGCAAACTGGCTTTGATATAAGCACTGTCATATACATTACAGAGAGTTGCTAAAGCACCAAAAAGGGTGCTGATGAACACCAGCACACTGAAGCCTCACATGGGACACAGCAGTCCTGCTATTCCCTTTTGAAGACAAAAAGCCCAATTAAATAAAATGGAAGTTTGTCTATTAATGTTTCATAGATGAAAAGTCCAAATTATGTGAGCTGAAGGTTGGATTGGGTGTTTTGAGTAGCCTGGTAGACAAGAGGGTTATTTGCCATCAGCTGAACACTATCATACCTCTAGAGAATCCATTATTTAAAGATGGCAAAATGCATATGACAGGGAGCAGTGAGATGTAAATAGCAAACATCACAGAGACTTATTAACAGGCTATGTTGTCTTTGCAAAAGCACTGCTGTTCCATTTGCAAACAGTAATTTGTTGCTTTCTTCTCTTGCAGTTACCCATATTGGCATCCTCTGTTGTTAGCCTCTACTTCCTTGAACTTACTGATGTCTTCAAGCCAGTTCACGCTGGATTTAATTGCTATGACAAGAGTCTGAGTATGCCATACATTGAACCTACACAAGAGTCTGTTCCCTTCCTGATGTTGCTTAGTCTGGTTTTTGCTGGACCATCAATTACGGTAAGTTTAAGGTGCCACTGTCACTTAGAAATATTTTGAACAGATTTTCAGCTGGCATAAAGAAAAATCACAGAATCATAGTATATAGAAATAAAATATAAATAATATAAATAACTTATATAAATATATAATATACATATAAAGAATACAAAATAGCTCCTTTGGTTTCAGTTAGGGTGCAGAGTGTCATCCAAGCTAATTACCTTAGGATTTTCAAATCATCTTTTATTATTCTATAACAGAACCAGACTTACTCCTTAAGAGTCCCTGTAGCTCTTTCAGTTGGACTTGATGATGTTAAAGGTCTTTTCTGACCACGCTGATCCTATGATTCTGTGATCTTGACAGTGGGCATTAAAGTTAAGAAACAGCATTCACAGTTGGGTGAGAATAGCTTGAATCATTGTGTTACGCTATGCAAATACTTGAACTATTACAGGCATGCTCTGAGATACACAAACAATTCAAGCTTGTGTTGGAAAGGGAAGCCTCTCATTTACAGCCACTAGCATAAGAACTAGCTTTCTTAAGTGAGAAGGTGCATCAATCATGTCAGTGAAATCAATTACACTCTCCAAAATAACACTGGGGCTCCTCTAAATTTGGAGTCAGTCATTAAAAGCCGGCAAAAGGAAGCTGGTTAAATCACTCACCCAAAGGGAGAAGATGATTTCAGCAGAACACAAATGTCTGATATTATACTGATAATATGAGCAGTTTGGTCACTGTTTTGCAGAAGAACACACATGTACATTGTCTGATAGAGGTGAGTACTGTCTCTGCCGGAATTGCTGCGTCAAATGAAATCTAAAGGCTTTACCTCTCTCTATATATACAGGAGGGAATTCATTGTGTGTAATTTTAGGCAGCTCAGATAGGAGCCGTAATCTTACAGCACTCCAGTTTGGCAAATGGAGAGAGAAATTCACCTGGAGTGGGTGATTCCAGGCACCTAAAAAGCTGAATGAACCTTCTGAAAGGGTCTCTGTCTCCTCAGACAACAGTGACTGTGCGCCTTGGGTAGATACTTCTCTAAGGTGAGCTGCAGATGCATCTCTGCTGCCAGCTCCTCTGAATTCCCTTAAATCCAACCGGTTCCTTTGTTTTCTAATACCAGCCAACTTGCAATTATAAAGCCTATAAAATGCAAACACCCATATAAAAACCACCATGTGCCAATCCCTCCCTACCTTCCAGGATGATTTTGATTTATTTGTCCTTCTTTTCTAACCGAGCTCTTCTTGCTCTGTTTGATTTTTGGTTGCTGTAAAACCATTTTTGAGGGATTCTGCACAACCATCAGACTAAAAGTTGTACTCATTTGGGAACTGGGAGCTAAGACTCTCAGTGGTCCCGGTGCAGATACTTGCAGCAAACACCAGATACTGATAAAATCAAAACTTGTTGGTACTGCAGTCTGGCTGGTTTTCTTCAGTCTAGGTAGTGTTTCTGATAACAACAAAGTGGACTTTCCCAAAACAACCATAAAAGTAATCTACATGGGCTCACTGACCACAATAGAGAGCTAAAAGCTGATTTTCACTTCGGAGAGATTATTTCAAGCCTAGGTAATATCAGAAACCTTCAACTGAGATGAAAGATGATCAGTTCTTTACAGAGCATTCATTAAGAGCTTTGACTACAGATGAATTGAGCATTGCATGAAATTATGCAATAGGAAATGTTGCTCTTGCTTTAGTCATCCTCCTAACAGCAGTACAGACAACTAAGCCCAACCATGCCCACACTGGAGCACGCCTACCAAACCTAAGATCAGTAAAGAAAGTAAATCCTGAAGCTTCAAATTACGACTGCTTAAAAGCTGCAAGCCTTAGGGAAGTTCTAGATCATTATTAGTGTAAGCATAAAGGTAATGCTTGTATTAGATGAAGAATGGTCTCTGGTACTGCAAAATACACAACTTCCTTTTATTACAGACACTGAAGATGGTGTAGAGCATCAGCTCTTTATCTAAGAAATTACATGAGGGGTTGTCCAATTATTCCCTTTTGCTTTGGAAAAATAGGCTGATGAAGCTCAACGTAAAAAGATCACAATTGTGCCACTGTCATCTTGCTCAGTTTAGCATTTTATGATTTAATTTGCATTAAAATTTCAATGAATTACTTTATAAAATCTGGAAAAGTCTAGAAAAGAAAGCATGAGCCATACGAGGAATTGCGCATCTCCAGTAACATCTACAGAGCCAGGCTGAGAGAGCTGGGCTGGGTCAGCCTGGAGAAGGGAAGGCTCCTGAAGGGGAGACCTCAGAGCAGCTCCAGTGCCTAAAGGGGCTCCAGGAAACCTGGAGAGGGGCTTTGGACAGAGGCCTGTAGGGACAGGACAAGGGGAATGGCTTTAACCTGCCAGAGGGGAGACTGAGATGAGCTCTTAGGCAGAAGCTCTTCCCTGTGAGGGAAAGAACACAAGCAAATTCCAGTCTCAATCCCTCCTTAAAGCCTTACATAAATACTAGCATAGGACTTAACTGCTTTTCTATATTATTATTGTTTCTATACTCAGTTTTATCCAATACTGGAGAACATCCTAAATCTATTCAATTTATAGTAAATTTTCTTCACCACAAACCTAGTATGTTGTAATTTCTTTTCCCAAGCCATTAATGCAGAGGGTCTGTATTTGGGTTTGGGGGTTTGGGGCTTTATGGCTTGTGGGGTTTTCCTTTGCTTTTTTTTTTTGCTCATTGTTAGTGTACTACAAGTACTTTTAACCAGATCTGTTACGAAGCCCTGAAGCGCTACAGAACATTATTACTACCTGTAGTATTTTTGCATGTCTTACAGCATGTGGCATATATAATTTTTTCTCTATGCATTCATAAACCACAGGAGAACAACTGGATTTGTGTGAAATTATCAACAAGGATATTTCATACTGGTCATAAACATATATGTGAATTGCAACATGACCTCTGCTGGCTTCTAAGAGCTCTGAATCTGATCCTCTGCCATAGTTTCTCTCTAATTGTTCATTGAGAAATGTTAGGACCAGTTATTTAATGGTATCAGTGTAGGTTCAAACCCTTACCAGCCACTGACTGAAAACCTGCTTACAGGTAACAATGTGCTTTCTAACAGAGATCACCAGGAAATTAGATCACATTGATTTGGGAAATCAATTTGCGAGGAGAGGCATTCACTGCCAGCAGTTTCAGTCCTGCTGCCTCTGCTGCTGTGGGAGTTGGTTTCCTTGGAAATACCAGCCTCCAAATTTTCCTTCACATAGGCCTCGCTGTTTCCCAATTTTCTCCTCTATCACACCAGCTAATCCACCTCTCTGGTGTTTTAACCTGTGCCAGACAGTCCCTAGAGCATGGATAAAAACTATTAAGAGTTCCTCTGGGGTTTAAGGTCGAAATACTACTGATTTCTCTGGGAAATTTCAGCTGTAAAGTGACCAAATGGAGACAGATAATAGTGACCATGGTTCTAATCTAATAAAAATCCCTTTAAATAACCCTTACCACTGACTTTTCCATGTAATGAGACAGCCTTCACTACTGCCTTTTTTCTGGCAAAGAAGTAGCATTTCAATTTAGCAAACCTTTAGCTAAGAAAGAGTTAGACTAAGCTTGGCCACTGTATCTCCCACCTCCTAGGGTGAGGAGTCTTAGCATGCACAAACGTTCAGCATCAGATGCTTTACATTGCATTGTAAGCTTTGTGCATTGCAAGTATTAGTTTCTAGTGCAACTGCGGCTGGCCAAAGTGAATCTCTTAGTGATGAGGACCGCCTCATTAATTTTAGTGTATCAACCCAACCCTTATTCTGAACTCTGCACAAGGCCTGTCCAGATTCCCAAGTTGCTGCACTACAGGAAGCCCATCAAACCTGAGACTGAACATGTATAAATGGCTCCGGATTTTCCAGCAAGTAACACCATTTGTCATTTATATTCTTTTTATAACCCTTTTTTCTAGGGCTTCAGCCATAATCTGTTTTGCTTGATGTGTTCAGAGGAACCATAAAGACAGAACTTTTTCTGCTGCTGTGGATCTGGTTAAAAACCAAGCCAAATTAAACAAATACAGAAGATCAGACTGCCACATAATTAGAAGCTGCTAGGGACTGCTAGGCTCGAGGCCAAGCCTGAGTGCTAAAACCACCTCAGGAGCACTGGGTTATTGCAGTGGCTCTGGATTATTTTAGAGGCAAGATTCGTTTTGCAGAATCACCACATCTAGGCTGTGGATCAGCCCCCTGACCCCACTGAGCACTGTATACTGTGTGCCACTTGCATTTCATTTCAGTGCCACTTCCTTGCCTGCCCTCACACAGGCTAAGTTGCATGACTACTGAACACTTATATATTGATACGAACCTTTCAAAGCAGAATACGTGCCCATGGATGACATTGGTTGTGGGATAGTTACATTTCAGCCTTTAAATTCAATCAGTGTCTTCTGAGTAACTGCTGCATTTAATTTAATGGCTCCTTTGTTATTGCAGATAATGATAGGAGAAGGAATACTCTACTGTTGCCTGTCCAAAAGAAGAAATGGGATTGGAACGGAGGCCAATATTAATGCAGGAGGATGCAACTTCAATTCTTTTCTCAGAAGAGCTGTCAGATTTGTTGGTGGGTTTCAAATGTTACTCACAAAGAAGAGCGTTCCATGCACATTCAGTTATCACCATGCAGGTTTCCTTCTCTGAAGCAGCCTTTCAGAACAGCGCAGGGCTGTCACTGGCATAGATCTTCCTCTCCCACAACATGCAAGAAGAAACTGTCAAACGCAGCGACAGAGCAGCCCCATCCATCCTCAGGAATGCAGCATCTACACTCTCTGTTTTTCCTTTCCTCTCCTGTCAGTGTTTCTAAAAGAATAATTTGGTTTTCCTGCTGTGCCCACATTGAGCTGGCTCCCATTTAATGGTTTCAGTGTATAGTTTCCCCTGCCTGTCTTCAGTGCATCGCAAGGATTCAACCCACCTGACACAGTATTCAGACAGTAAAACTGTGTTAGAAGCTCTCAGTAGAATTGACATTCTTATGCTGGGATGTGTTTATCTACCTCTTGAAAAAATGTTAGGATCTGGTAACAATGCTAGAGAGGAACATGTTGAATCGATTTGGTTTACTGTAATTGTCAGTTATGAAAACTGGACTTTGTTCCACTTCTTACAGCTAATTTCCTTTACCAATGAGTAGCTGAAGGAAAGATTTTCTGTTCCAGGAATCTTGCACTAGAGAGGGCAGCCTAGGTAAAGACAGTGTGAAGGACAGCAGGCTGAAAACCCTCTAGGAGGACTATACACCAAGTATCTGTTGTCTGGCAAGCAGGAAGGTAACAGGAGAGGTTCTACTATGACCAGTAAAGCATCCTCTGAAGATTAGCAGCGAGGAAGTGAGCAGAGGGGGTGGTAGGTCACAACATCAGCAAGGACAACTGTAAAGATACCTCATGCTTTCTGCTTCTCCTCCTGTATGGCATCCAATTCCATCACCAAAAAAGATAAACTCAAAGATGCATGAATTTCATTCTTGATTCATACTTGGAATTTGCAGTTTCTTTCATATTCAAATGACTTTCGCATTCTTTCCAATTTAAAATGAAAAATAGATTTATTTATATGGACACCAGTAGGGAATTCGTGTTAATCTTTAGGGGAAAAGCAGTTGAAAATGCTCAGTAAAATAACTGCATTTACAAACTCTGAATTTGGAATTATTAACCAGACAGAAACACTTATCAGTTACCAAAACAACTTCAGTATTTGGACTCATGGCAAGAACTTGCTACTCAAGAAACATCAGAGGTGTGAGGGTGGCCAAAATTATTACCAGCTGAGGAGTACCTGGTGGTAAAGACAGAACAGGTCCTAAAAGCAGCGATCTAATGGTCAGGTCTCCATGCTATTAAAAGCCTGTATCCCAGTGGGCCAAGGTCAGGATAAGCATATATGCTCTCCTCAAACAGTTGGCTGTCCTGTAGGCAGTTCAGAAGGCTGCTCTCCAAACCAAAGCAGCTGCAGCGTAGTTCCCTTTCATGGAAAGATGTTGGAGGACATCAAACCATCAAAATGTTAGGTTTTAACAGGAAGAAAACAAGCATAAATAATCTTCTTTTTTAACACTAAATAATTCAGCTTTGCAATAAGCTCTCTTAAAACAGCCCATCGTCATCTTCAGTTCAATTCTCTCAAGTCCAACTGCACAAGCCACTAGAATTCCATTGAATGTATTTTGTTACAATGCATTAATCTAATTTCTCCATATAATGAAGTTAAGAAACTCTACTGATTTCTTTCCTAGGTGTTCATGTGTTTGGTCTTTGTTCTACTGCTCTTGTTACTGACATTATACAGCTATCGACGGGATATCAGGCACCGTATTTCCTGACTGTTTGCAAGCCTAACTATACATCCTTAAATGTATCCTGCTCAGAGAATTCCTACGTTGTGGAAGATATTTGCTCAGGAGCTGATCTCAGTATTATCAACGCTGGAAGGTTAGTTCTCTCTTTCCTTGTGTACATTTTTAAGTATTCATTTTACTTATTTTCTGCCCCAGCCTCAAGATTTAGTTTGTTTCTGGCTAAAATTGCAATGATTTCTTTCAGTTTTTGCTAACAAAGGTGAGAACAGCAATGTCTGTTTAGTGATGTGCCATTTTCTCTACAAAAATATTATGCCAACAGTGAGCTTTGGAAGACTTTGGCAGATTCCAAAGCACAGGCATTAGAAACTGTTTATTGTCCCTCCTTCAAAGGAGACAATTTCCCATACAATTATTAATATCTATAGCTTCTGTGGCTTCTCCCAGTGGGATCTGGTTTAGTTCCCCATAACAGGCAGTGGCAGAAGTCACCCAGTACTTTATCAGAGACCTCTGTCTGACATACATTACTGTGCTGGCTTTTGGGTCTCAGTTTCTGAGGCTTTGTTTTGAGATGTGTTGGAGGATTTGTTTGTTTTCTGTTTCTCTACTTGATTAAGTTTTTTATATTGACAGCATTGAAGAAATCCCTTTATTAGGGCCCAACAGCACAAATCTGTGTACTTCCAAACTTTTCTTTCATGGTATTTTAACTGGTGGCGTAACCTTGATCATTTAGTCTTTAGCCTCCTTACTTAGATACCAGCAGAGAAATTAGTATTCTTTATAACAGCAGGTTTTAGCCATGCCTATCAGTCATGCTGAGCTATAAACCAGACTATATATCTTATTTTAAACAAGCTTGATGTGATAGTGATAATTCAGCTACTAATGAGACAGGTCATAAATTTAAACAGGAATCTGAAGGTGTATGTCAGTAAGTTGCACTGTTCCAAAGCATCTGCTACTTGTTAGTTCGAAGACTCTACTAGTATGAAGTGTCCTAAATATAAGCACTACAGTACTGGGAAATCACGAAACTTCACTGAATGCAGTAGTTCTCTTCCATCTCTTTTCTGCAACAAAGTTAACCTTTATTGCCTGTTAGTCATGGAATGTTTGAATGCTTTTGCAGTTCTTCAAAATCTTGGTGCATTTTAAAACCTCCTATTCTCAAAACAAGTTACAGCATAATTATAGAGTGTTTGAAACGATGACAACTTCTGTCTCTGACTTAGCTACATTGTTGCTCTGTACCTGATTCATAGACACGAAGTTGTGTTACTTATGGCACACCTACTTCACTAAAGCTTTTCACTCCTTTCTTGTTCTGTATGCAGCCCCAAATGCTTCTCTTTTAACTTTATGCCTCAGTGCATTACCTTTTTGTCACATGGATATTGGTTAAATGATCTGTCCATGTATAAAGCCACCTCTACCCTCGTTTTTCTCTTCCTCTTATTTCAGTGGTCGACACACTTGGGAATCATGAAATCATTCACTTTGTATCTTCCAGCAATGCTTGTCATCTGTCTCCTTTCACTAGGACAAACCAGTTTCACTGATGTTTAAAGACCCTTAATTATTTGACGCATTTGGTTTTAAATATATCTAGTGGGATAAGAATAACTAGCACTGATTAATTTGCTGTATCTTTTCATTGGATGTGGGCATGATCCAGAGCTGGAATAAAGGGTTATATTGGCCATAACAATTGGGTGACAGTAATTTTGGTGAAAGACATAACCAGAATTGCTTTATCAGCCTTCACCTCACTGTCTGTTTTCCCATGACCAATTGCGGTTACTGGGATGCTGCCATTGAAGCCGATGCTCACAAGCAGTGTCTTAAACCTTTGTGGTATCCCAGGGAAATCAGTGGAGCTTTACATATCAGCAGGCAGAAAAACTTCAATGATTTCATCTCCTTCATTTCATCACCTCTGATATGATGCTACTGCTCTGAACTGACTGCCTGTAGCCATGATAAAAATGCTGATCAATCCTAAGTTTAAATATCATCACTTCCAAAACCCAGCAAAATCAGTTATAAAATATTAAGACTCAACAACCTTTTTTTGTGTGTTTCTATTTCTATATGAAGATGACTATGTATTGGTACCCCAAATTTATTCCCATCATAGAGAATACATTTGGTGATCTGTAATATTCTGCCACCACCCTCAGTTTCTCCTTACTTCAGTTTTATTGCATTTTGCCTTATTAAATTGTTGCTTCCTTATGCCTGTCTCAACTCTACCGAAGCGCTCAGCACTTGCTACTGATTCAATACTTGCTTCAGTCATCTACTATACGAGTTATCGCGTAACTTCTCCAGCCCAGGAGGTTCATTCACTTCAGTGATTTCAGCCTCTAAGGGGCTGAGGTTGCTAATGGCCTTCATTCTTCAGTTGTACTCCCCAAAAACTTGTCTCCAGAAATTTACGTCTAGACTCCCCAATGGAAATTACAGAGAATTATCCAGCTGATTATATAAAATCATTTTCTGCAACATCCCAAATATCCAGGAGATCCTTTGTCCATCTTTACCTTCAAAAAGCCTTTTCAGTCATTTCTGTTCAGATTTCCAGCAACTTCCCCTGATGATTCCTTATCATTTTGGATATTCTCACTCAGTACGACTCTCAGCATGACTCTTTCTCATTGTCGTTCCCCCTGTACACATCCTCCTGCGTGAGCATTTAGTGATACACTGTCACCCGAGTCCAGGATATGTTTTCTTTGAGACCTTTGTTCACCTTTTCAGTACAGAGCTGTGCAAAAATGCTACATATTTTTGGCTTGAACTATTTTCATTTTAACGAAAAGATAACAAATAGGGGAACAAAACCAGTGGCACCATTACACAGAGTGCATCTAGGCTGCAACATGCTGTGCTTGCCCTGAAAGCATGCGAATAGAAAAGAAAACAGAAATTGACTGTAGCATAGCGACACTCCTCATATACTCTCAAAATGCCTTCAAGTGAAGGGTAAGTTCTGACTGGTACTAAAGAATCAAATCTACACATTAGCTCCACAGAGACTGCAAGTAGATCTATGCTTCCACTAAAACCTGGCCAGGGTAAAGGAGGTGATTACCCATTACAAACATTCCCATTTTGTTCATGTCTTTATCCTCCTGTCCTCCAGCCTGAACTTGTTCCCCAGGGATACTACTGGTGAAAGGCTTGTTCAGGGGGAGGAGAAAGAAAAAAAAGGGGAAAAGAAACAGGGGGGAAGAAGGAAAGAAAAACAATTTAGGTTCAAATGTCTTTAGAAACAAAAGGGATCGTGCTGATTTCATCTTGGCCAGAGCCATGAACTTGCTGCAGCCACGGGCTTCAATTCAGATCACAGATTCACATTTGACTACATGCACACATTGAATTGCCAATGAATTATTTCAAATAGATAAAGCCAAATGCATAGGAAACAAATTCAGAAGGCAGACTGCTGCCTGGCAGAGAAATGTCTCTGTCTAAAGGTAAAGGGCTGTATTCCAGCTTTTGCCATCTTATCCTGGCTCACTCAGGGGCTGCCAGAACATGGCTGGACATGGAGCCCCACTGGGATCGAAAGACCAGTGAGTGTTTAAGGACTATCCCAAGCTGAGATTTCTCAGGTGAAAGTGCCTGCAAGATAGATACACCCTTCTTCACCAAAACAGCCAGCACATGATGTGTCCATGCCCTTTGAAGGACAGAAATGCACAGGTATAAACTGCTGTACATTTTCACTACATTACTCCCTTCTAGAGCTCAGAGGTCATAAAAGAGTTTTTGGGATTCTGCAAGCTATGTACGAGGTAGAATAGGTGTTACTGAATCCACCTGCAGCCAAGCTTTTCCCTTTGCTGTGTAAAGGGAACAATACTCCTTAATGTTCCCACCACTAATGGAATGGGTCTATAAGAAGTATGTCCGTGTAGCTGCTACTTGCACAAAATCTCCTTTTCCGGGACAGAGAAGTAGAAATTAAGCTGTCACTTCTAATTTCCATACCTGTTGTTTCTGACTTGAGACCCAGGCCACATCATTCAAGACCCCAGGCTTTCCATGGGAGCCCTGAGCCTACTGCCTTACACAGTGTGGACATATTTTCATTCACCAAGTTGGTCTGGGCTTCAAGAAGGGGTCTGGAAACTCCTAAAATGCCCTCTCCATGTTCCTGTGGCCCATTCGCTCCATTCATGTTAGAATTTTTAAAACTTAACAAAATTAAACCAGAAGATGCAGCAAATAGAGATGTTGTTTGCCTCTCCCTGAGCAGAATGTCCCACCGTTGCCAGAGCAACAAAGCAGGAGCACAAAGGTGATGAATTCTGTTGCTGAAGTTAGGGCCTGACTATTGAAGCGTACAAGTCCTTACTTTGAAAAGAGTCAAAGTGAAGTCACTGAGAAAATAATCATTAGATCAACATCAGAAGGACATGGAGCTGTTGGAACAAGTCCAGAGGAGGCCACGAGGATGATGAGGACTGGAGCAGCTCCCGTATGGAGACAGGCTGAGAACACTGGGGCTGTTCAGCCTGGAGAAGAGAAGCTGCGTGGAGACCTCAGAGCAGCTTCCAGCGTCTGAAGGGGGCTACAAGGATGCTGGAGAGGGACTCTTCATCACGGACTGTAGCAATAGGACAAGGGGTGATGGGTTCACACTGAAACAGGGGAAGTTCCGGTTAGGTCTAAGGCAGAAGCTCTTCCCTGTGAAGGTGCTGAGGTGCTGGCACAGGGTGCCCAGAGAAGCTGTGGCTGCCCCATCCCTGGCAGTGTTCAAGGCTAGGTTGGACACAGGGGCTTGGAAGCACCCTGCTCTAGTGGAAGATGTCCTTGCTCATGGCAGGTGGTTGGAACTGGATGAGCCTTAAGGTCCATTCCTACCCCAACCATTCTATGAATATATGATCAATGCTCATGCATTTATGCTCACTGAAAAGTTATTATGGGAATACATGTAGAGAAAGAAATGTATAAATATTTGTCTCAATCAAGCATTCAGTCTTTAGCTCCTTCCCACTGTCCTTTCCATATACATTTCTTAGTATGCAAAAGGAATTTAATGCTAAATGTTTACTTCAAAACAAAGGCATTTCATTAAAATTGGTCCTTTCTGCAGATTATAGAAGTTAGAAATTAAATGTTCCTGATATGTTGCTTAGGAAGTGTAAACTGAAAATGACTGTACCACCCAGTGTTTTTTTTTCACATGAACACTAGCACAGTGTATTTGAAATGAGAAGCATAATTTGAGTGTCCTTCCTTGGCAGAAAGTCATTCCCTTCTCAACATGCCACCCTGGCAGCCTTTGCAGCAGTGTACATTTCGGTGAGTAACCAACTCTGTTCATTTTCATCTATACAAGACAAAAGTCAGAAAGTCATTTGCTGTATATTGTAAAGTGATGTGTTTCCTCGATATCCTGCATGGATGTAAGTTTTTATCCTCCCAGTTTGAAAGCAAAATGGAACTGCTAACAGTTAAACTAAATCCAGCCCTATTAAGAATACAGAAAAGATTCAGTTGCTTCACAGCCTTTGCTAAGAAGCAACAAACAGTTTAACGTTGAAGTACAGCTGATTATTCAACTCATATTATTCACATGTAAAATGCAGTGTTTATCCATTGTATGGGGTGATATTTTAACTTACTATTCAAATTAACCATGATGTGTTCTGCTTTTTCTCTGTTGCTGTCTTCACTTGACTGGCTGCTTTTCAGCTTGAGGTATTAAGGAACAGCCACTGATGTGATGTAGTTTCATTTGACCTCCATAGATTTGCAGCATGGATGAACCAGCACAATCGCTCCCAGAGGCCTCCAAGGTGCTACTGCAAAGCAAGTGAATAAACCCCATCAGTAACTAGCAGGGAATCATATGACATGCTGCAGCAATCACTGCTGATTTTCCACATCTGACCAGTGACATTTTTACAGTATGGGCTGTAGTGCTTGTATGAGTGACCACAAGTTATTCCATCACTCCTCCTGTAAAAATCAGAGGAAAACAACAGTAACAATGAGTTAATCAACCTGGATAATGGAATTGTGCATGAACTGGGAGTTTGTCAGTATTTTTTTCTGCCCATGGAAAGCCCAAAACTTGGAGTAACACTGATGAATCACCTCCACTTAATTTCTGTGACCTCTCTGACATCATGGCCTCCAGTTCAGCAATAGCTCCCTAAAGCATCTGGTGGTAGCTGCTGTTAGAACAGGTTATTGCTTTCATCTGGTGTGACATCTGGCTTCTGCATTTCAGAAGCAGTGGCTCCTCAGTCATATTTACAGAACATTTAGGCCCTGACTGTGATTTAGGCATAAAATCTTTATCCTAATTAATGAAGACAGGCTGAGAACACTGGGGCTGTTCAGCCTGGAGAAGACAAGCTGCATGGAGACCTCAGAGCAGCTTCCAGTGTCTGAATGGGGCTACAAGGATGCTGGAGAGGGACTCTTCATCAGGGACTGCAGCGATAGGACAAGGGGTGATGGGTTCAAACTGAAACAGGGGAAGTTCAGGTTAGATCTAAGGCAGAAGCTCTTCCCTGTGAGGGTGCTGAGGCGCTGGCACAGGGTGCCCAGAGAAGCTGTGGCTGCCCCATCCCTGGCAGTGTTCAAGGCCAGGTTGGACACAGGGGCTTGGAGCAACCTCCTCTAGTGTGAGGTGTCCCTGCCCGTGGCAGGGGTTGGAACTGGATGAGCTTTACGGTCCCTTCCAACCCAAGCCAGGCTGGGATTCTGTGATGTCAATAGACAACACTGTGTATGCTTTTGGAAATCCATTCCTTGGGATTTCAGATCTCCCTCTGGTAAGTAAGCAAATTTAAACAGGGCTGTGAAATAAAATTAGGCTGATTATTTTCAGTATTACTGTGTTATCTACATGTGAAAGAAACACTGAATGTGAGAAATTAATATCCTCCTGGGTAAATCTCTTCAACTGCTTCTTCACTTCTTTCTTTTTTCAAGATGTACTTCAATTCTACGTTAACAGACTCCTCAAAACTTCTGAAACCACTCTTGGTCTTTGCTTTTATCATCTGTGGAATTATATGTGGTCTGACTCGTATCACCCAATATAAGAACCATCCAGTTGACGTTTACTGTGGCTTTCTCATAGGAGGAGGAATTGCTCTCTATTTGGTAAATATAATATTCATGTAGTCAAGTTTTAGGAAAAAAAACCCTGTAATAAGAGTACTGGCATTTTTTATGAAAACCTTTCATCATGATCACATGCCATAATTAAAAATGTAGTCAAAATGTGTTGAAGATGATGACGTTAGGGTAATCACTTTAAAACTTCACAGGGAAAAGCAAATATGTATTCAAATGAACTGCACAAACTAGTATATAAACATACAGTATCATACACAGAAACAGCTCTAACGTTATGTGCTTCATTAAATACTTAAAGATACTCATTCTATTCCCCATTTACAAGCATAATGCAAGAGAAACATTGGGTTAATCGGTATTTGTTGCCAGCCTGAGTTTATATTGCCAGGTTGGACAGAGCCTTGGGTCAGATGGTTTAGTGTGAAGTGTCCCTGCCCATGGCAGAGGGGTTGGAACTGGATGATCTTCAGGTCCTTTCCAACCCTAACTGTTCTATGATTCTATGACTCTATGTTAGCTTTATGATCTCAAAAAACCCCAGAGCAACTAGCTGAGTAAATTGCTGAACCTGCAAGAAATCAAAGGCCATGTTACACCCTTGGGATTCTTTGGAGCTTTTGGGGAAATGGGATGCCAAAGCCAGGTTATTCCTATGCCCTTACTCCATATTGGGCTGAAACAGATGGAGCACCTTGGAAGGGTCCTGTAAAGGAGTCTGTAGGATAGGCCTGATTGTATCTATATTAGTAGGAAGCTCATGAAGCCTTTGCTCTTGCTTGCTGCCCTCAGTATGTCTCCACCACACCTGGTGCTGCTCTAGCTGTTGAGCACTGTGTCAGCCCAGATACCTGTGAGCATTCAGAAGCTTTTCCTGACAGCAGTTCTGCTCCAGTGCTGGCAGATGAACAGCAGTCTTGCCAGTGCCCAAGAAGTCAATGATGAATTTTAGTATAGCACTAAAATAAGTTCATATCCTATCCACCTTTTTTCCTGTGATGAGGTGATCTGAGGTACATGCAGGTGGTCCTCAAAGGTGAGTGAAGGAAAAACGGCTTTCACACTGGTAGAAGAGCGAGCAAGCAGAGTAGATAAGAAACCCCATGAGCTACTAAAGCCAGTTTCCATGATGCACTGGGAGCAGAAGGGCACTCTCTTGAGAATATTATTTCAAGCGATTAAGCTTTTGTAGACTCTCATAAATGGAGCTGTTGTTCCCCTGTTTGAAATGCACAAACAAGTATGCTCTTTGTTTGGTCTTCTCCATACACTGTTGCATCAGAGAGGGCATTGTCCTGGCTACCCAATAGTCAGTAAACCTGCCCTGAGAACTACACACCAGTAAGAGGAAGGGGAGGAGAAATGACGTGAAACTACAAATATCTCTGAAAGGAGTGTGAAGAATAAGGAACCTAAATGATTGAGTCGGGCATTTGACCCTTTCATGGAATATCCTCCCTCAGTGGAGTCTCTTTAAAAAGGCAACATTTTACAGTGAGTCTGCTGAATAAGAAAACAGTGTATAACTAAATCTTGTTACAGCTCTGCGCAGCTTGGAAAGCAATTCATTTAAAGTTGATAAATTGTTCCACCATGTAGATACTGCATTACATGGTTATTATGCAGCAGAAAGGGCAGAATCACAGAGCAGAGAACAACTCATGCTGTAACAAGATTCAGTAAATCAGAGCAGACAGTAGTAAATAGCGTTGCCTGGAAGACTGCAAACATTGATTTTGTTCTTTTCATAACAAAGCATTCTCTCCTCAGCTGTATCTGTTGCTTTATAAAAGGAAGAAAACTGAAGGAGGCTAAATCTTTCCTCAGCTATTTGTTGCCATGAGCTCTGTGCCCCAATTATCCTACTGTGACTACTTCATACATACCTAGATGCACCAGACCAAGAACAGAATGTGGAATAAGGATATACTGGGGAGGAAAGGAAAGCAAGCATACCCTGTCAGTTAAACTGTTAATTCTATCAGACAATAATTATTTAAAGGCAGCATAATATAATTAAAATATCTTTAAAGGTCTCTTCCCCCCCACCCCCCCCCCCCTTACTGACTGTTGATACTTCTGTTCCAATACCAGGGCCTGTATGCCGTGGGGAACTTCTTGCCAAGTGATGAGAATGTGTTTCAGCCCAGTTTTCACAGAGAGCCTCTAAGGTCTTTGACAGACCTCAGTCAAGATGCCAACAGGATCCTGCCAGGTAAAAATGGAAGCAGCAGTGATGGCATTGTTTCTCATCGTACAGAAGGTATTCTGAATAGAAACCACAGAGATACAGGGTCTCTGACCAATATCAAGAGAGCAAACGCTGATGTAGAAATAATAACACCGCGAAGCCCAATGGGAAAGGAAAATATGGTCACCTTCAGCAACACTTTGCCAAGAGTCAACACACCATCCATGGAAGACCAGGCAAGGCGAAATGCAACAATACACGCATCCATGGATTCTGCTCGTTCCAAACAGCTGCTTTCCCAGTGGAAGAACAAGAATGAGAGTCGAAAGTTGTCTCTGCAAGTCATAGAGACTGAATCTGGCCAGTCACCACCAAGAGCTATTGAGATGAGGTCAAGCTCAGAACCCTCCAGAGTGGGTGTAAATGGTGATCATCATGGCCCAACTAGCCAATACCTGAAAATTCAACCTGGCAGTGTACCAGGTTGTAACAACACAGGTCTTTCTGGTGGGCCACGGGTCTCTATTCAGTCACGTCCAGGTTCTTCCCAGCTAGTCCACATTCCTGAAGAGACTCAGGAGAACGTGAACACATCACCCAAAACTAGTTCAGCTAGAGCTAAATGGCTAAAAGCTGCTGAGAAGAGTGTTGCATGTAGAAGCAATAGCCAGCCAAGAATCATGCAAGTAATAGCCATGTCTAAGCAGCAAGGAGTGCTTCAGAGCAGCCCAAAGGGTTCAGAGGGAAGCACAGTCACCTGCACAGGAGCCATCAGATACAAAACCTTGACAGACCATGAGCCAAGCAGCATTGTCAGAGTTGAGGCCCATCCGGAGAATAACAGACCTGTAATTCAGATGCCATCAGAAGGTGAAGGAAGTGGGTCATGGAAATGGAAAGGTCCTGAAAAAATCACCCTTCGTCAGACCTATGAGCTAAATGATCTCAACAGAGACTCTGAGAGCTGTGACTCCTTAAAAGACAGTTATGGGTCAGGCGACCGGAAAAGGAGCAACATAGATAACAGTGAGCATCACCATCATGGGATCACTACGATAAGGGTCACGCCAGTAGAGGGAAGCGAGATTGGCTCAGAGACTCTGTCCATTTCTTCTAGCCGGGACTCAACGCTTCGAAGGAAAGGTAACATCATTTTAATCCCTGAGAGAGGGAGCAGTCCAGAGAACACCAGGAACATCTTCTATAAGGGCACATCCCCTACACGAGCGTACAAGGACTGAGAGGAGACATATCAGCTGGTCCGTACCACCACAATCACATCTTGACACAGGTTCTACTCTCTTTGTTTGGAGCCAATATTTACTTTTGATGTGCCAAATTCTTGCCCAGCAGCCCAACTGCTGTTGAACGCTGCTGATGTGCAATGTGCATGAGCCTGTGGGAAGTATGTGGTGGGGGGAAAGCACAATGCCAGAACCTAACTAATGTGAAACATTTGCAAGCAGCTTGTTTCTTCAGACTCAAAGTATTTATCTGAGGGTGACGATGTCAATCAAAACAACGGTCTTGAACACAGACACGTTATTTCCTGAATGTGCCAACTTTTTATTTTGTATGTGTCCAAAATCAACTGAATTTCTCACAGCAAAGGCTGTATCAAATGGTATATATTCACCTTTGCAGAATTTGCACCAAATCTTTCATCCAGGATGGTGCTGATGGTAACTTTACATGTTTCAAACAATACTTATTAGACTCTGCAAACACATGACATATTGATGTGCAGTTACTTTCAAAGTACTATTGCTAATACTATTGATGATGCTGGCTGCATTCATTTAGCATAGGAAATATTTACAGCTTTGTTATAGTGGATCTGTCACATTCAAAGATTGCAAAGGTTTCGTGTAGTTCTTTAAGATGTCTACTGCAACAAAACCCATGTGGGTAATGTTCCATTAGAATGGAATAACTATCTATTTTTTGACTAGTTTTGCTGCTACTGCTCAACTTTTGTTTAAGAAGAGGTGCTACTAATGAAGAGGCTGCTTCTTAGTGGGCTAACTCATAGAATTGTTTGAAGTCGTTCTTTTTAAGGGGTCTTTTAAAGTACAACTCATTCAGATTTTGCATTTTAAACCTCTGATTCTGCCCTCCAGCAACCCTTCCGTTTTTCTATTAGCTTTTAACCACAGAATGCAGGGCACCAATAATTGCGAGATGTGCTAATGTGAAAGGTGAGCCATAAGCAGAAAAACAGACACTTCCCTGATCACCTTCCAAGGAGACAGCAATTAATATCCTAGCTCACACTTAGAAGCAGTCATTCACCTCACTTGCTTAGCATGCCGTGATAACAGTCACAAGTTTCACCCCAAACATGATCAATTCAGGGGATTTATGCTTCCCTTTAAAAATTGAATGCCTTGGAATTCCTGCCTGGGAATGCAGGATCACTGAGTGAGTGTTGCACTGTGCCACTGCTAATTCTTCACATCCCCTGAGACACCCTATACAGCCTTCTTAAGCAGCAGATTCTTTTCTCACCACTGCCACTTGAGAATATGGATTGAGTAAATTGGGCTTCAAACATAACAAAAGAACTTGCATGCTAAAAATCTCTCAATTGCCAACACCGTTGAAAGGATAAGCTCTGAAAGGAAGAAGCATAACATGTCCTGGGCATGCTGGGAGAAACGCCTTGTTGTATTTGGCTGTGACTTAAATAACCTAAGCCACCAGGGAAGCTAGGGATAGTGCTCGCCCAGGGCAGCTCCTCATCCTCTCCTAGATGATTTCCACCTGAAAGAGAACTACTATCAGGTACCTCCCAGCTCTCCTTGTAGAAGGGAGAAGGAGGATTTAGCAGTCCCCTCACTGAGTAAGCAGTAGGAGATCAGGTCTGTTCTGGCTTCTTGACAGCAGTTTCATTCTAAGTCCTCTTCTGCTTTAGAGTATCAGTAAATACATACTACCTAGTCAGAACCTGTCTACAGACCCTACCCCACAGAACTCTGAGGAAAAGCTTGCCCTAGCCCAGCCAAATAGAAGGTGGAAGGAAGAACCATCCCATCCCAAGACGATAAATAGCACAACACACACAGACCAAAAAATCAACCAAAAAACCCCCACCCACAAACCCCCCTCAAAACCAAACCAAAATCCTAATCCCAATCCTAAAAAATTTCAGAAGCGTGAGGATGGCGTTTGCCAATCTGTACAGAAGGGATTTGGAGTCAACAGAAAGCTTTATATACCTTCCCAGTTACAAGGTGCTCCAGGCGTAGCTGAGTGCTGTCAGCAATGCTTCCTATGCCTGCCCATCACCCAGTGCTGCAGGACAGCACTGGTCTTAAGGAAACGACCACATCCTGTTAAGTAATAGAAGACAACCCCATCATACGTTTGATGATTGGGAGGAGGTATTCTGCAGGTGACATGGAAGTAGGACTGCAGCATATTGTGTATGTTAAAGGCATTTAGCTGGGATAAATAATCGTAGATGCCAGGGAATATAAAAAGAAAGACTAATTTTTTAGAAATAAATTCTCAGATTCTAGTATTTACAAGTCAGGATTTGGCTTTTCTTTTTGAAAGGATGAGTCTTTAACTCCTTGGTATTTAATATCCAATTTTGTACATGATTCCTGGGAATTACAAACACTTGGATTGTCATGAGGAAAACCCTTTGGATATAGTTTAGTGTAGGTACATGATGAAGCCGGTAGGATTAGCTTTAAAGGAACGGGTGAGACACAATCACTGTTGGCCTATCAATGCAGGGAAATAAGATGCAATCATTTGTTAGTTTGTAAGTGCAGGGCAAAGAACATAAGTAGATGAACCTGGAAATAATGGAAAATTGAAATGGAGAACAATGGCAATAAAGCAAAGATTAGAAAATGTTCCCTCTGGTAATTGAGCTGTTTTGGAAACAGCAGGATTCCTGGTGGGAGTGTTTGTTCTTTATTCCTTGGTTTTAGTCAGATATATATTGGCATATGTGTTGCTTTTATTACTCTAAAACTTGCTGCACTCTTTCAAGTGTAGCGTGATATTTTTCCTAAGGTTTCCTATTTCTTAACAACAGATTTTAAAGCTCTTGTGTAATCATTGAAATTGTGTTCTTTACATAAATATTGATATATTCTTTTTTACTCCAAGTGCCAAAGGCTACTGTTTTTAATAATGGCTTATCAAATTCTATTCCGTTAGAGAGCAGAAATGTAATGCTATCAACATTGGAACTCAGACCTCTGCATGTATATTTGATAAGGAGCCTTTTGTAAAATTACTCTTTGTTTACATTCCACTGATACCTTAATTTCAAATTAATCAAATAAATTGACAGGTGACATCTTCTTAGTGTTCTGATTTTCTTACTTGCTAACAGGCACGCATTTCTTTGTCAGGCTGTGCTTTACTGAGAAAAGAAAATACTCAACCTATGTTTTTAAATGAGAATTCTCTATATAGAGTATGGTGTTTAATAAAATGGTATGCAATGTTTTCAAATGGAAAAGAATTTGTAAATTGCTATAAATGTATTTTGTTAAATAAGTACAGATCGATGCTACTGTGTGAGTTTATTGTGCTAACATCATGAAAATAAAGATCAAGTTCCTCATTGATGTTCAGTTATCTCTGTGGTGAAGCAAAGTCTCATTCATAGAATCACAGAATCAACTAGCGTGGAAAAGACCTTTAAGATCATCAAGCCCAACCTTTACCCTGGGACTGCCAAGGCCACCACTAAAGTCCCCCCTTTAATTTTCAATACTAGTTATTTCATGACTTGTAAAAGTGCTCATCAGTGGGGGAAACCTCAAAACCTTGTGGAGTTGTAAGAAGTTAGGAGGAACAGTGTCCAAACAAGCTTGTCTGCATCCAAAAACCATTTCACAAAGCAAGCAAGTGAATTAGGAAATCCAGGCCTTTTGAGGACACATCTGCTAGATCACTCTGCAGGACCAGCTGCACTGTTTAAGACCCTAATGCCTCTAGAACCACCTTGCTAGTGCTGGGGAGAGCTGCAGTGCTCTTCCCAGAAGTGAGGATGCAGGAATTATCAGGTGACACAGAATCCCAGAGTGGTTTGGGTTGGAAAGGACCTTAAAGCTCATCCAGTTCCAAGCCCCTGCCGTGGACAGGGACACTGCCAGGGATGGGGCAGCCACAGCTTCTCTGGGCACCCTGTGCCAGCGCCTCAGCACCCTCACAGGGAAGAGCTTCTGCCTTAGATCTAACCTGAACTTCCCCTGGTTCAGTCTGAACCCATCACCCCTTGTCCTATTGCTACAGTCCCTAATGGAGAGTCCCTCTCCAGCATCCTTGGAGCCCCCTTCAGACACTGGAAGCTGCTCTGAGGTCTCCACGCAGTTTCTCTTCTCCAGGCTGAACAGCCCCAGTGTTCTCAGCCTGTCTCCATACAGGAGTGCTCCAGCCCCTGAGCATCCTCGTGGCCACCTCTGGACCACACAGCTCCATGTCTTGCTGTTGTTGAGGACATCAGCACTGCACACAGTGCTGCAAGTGGGGTCTCATGAGAGCAGAGTAGAGAGGCAGGATCCCCTCCTTCGACCTGCTGGTCACGCTCCTGTTCATATGCCCCTGCCTGGCAACAGTGAAGAACAGTCTTGCCTAGAAGCCACACAAGATACGTAAAAGAAAACAACCTCCAAACCTGTCTTGGAACACCCTGAAACATGGCAACAGAAGCACCCTGAGTTCCTGGGATGGAGGATGAGGCGTGCACAGACATAAGGACCCTAGGAACAAGTAGGGCCCCTGCAATACATGGCAGCAAATCAAACTGGCTCCAAGAAGCTTTCCCACGTGTCCCTGGACCTTTATGCAGGCTGCCACCTTGTAGTTGCATGTCTTTCTAGCTGGTGACCTAGGATGGTGGAGGGACCGGGCAGTTGATGGCACTGCTGGGCTGCACTGCTGTGTGATACAGCATCATCCATGTGCTATGCTCCCAGCAAACACATGCTGGAGCTGGCTGGTGTCACACCAAGCTGCGGTGCAAATCTGCCTCACTTGGCAGTCCCTGTCCCAGAACTTCCCTGATGATTCAAAAGCAAACCAGGAAAACAGTCTGTTGGCTCTCAGAGAAAGGGAAGTGTACAAGCAGTTGTGACACTGCTCCCTCTGCAGTCACTGAAGGAGCTTCCTGCTTGTGGCTGGGGCTGGAGAGTGTCCTTACCCCTCTGCATGAGTACCCAGTTCCAGCAGAGACCTCTCCTCCTTCGGCCAGCAGCAGATGCTGGTGCACCAGCCTGTTACCAGCCACAGCAGATGACTGGTCTGAATGAGGCTGTGTGAAGCAGGAAGGCTGGGGACCAAGATTGTGATGTTCCACCCTTTAGGACATGTATTGGTAGCCTGGGAAAGCTACACAGTGATGGCTCAGAGAGACCATGGGAAGGAGTGAAAGAGGGTAAACCAGTTCCTGCTAGGGTATGACCACTGACAGCTGATGACTAACACATCCAAATCTGATAAATTCTCCTCTGTGCACAGCCCAATCCATGGACTACAAAGGAGCCTAGACAATTAGTTCAAACATTTTAAAAGGCACATTTTAAACATCTGAAGTTAGGCGAAAAATGAAGTCCCCTCTGAAGGGTATCTTTGATGTACAGGTTATAGTATAAAGCTTGATTAAAGATGAGAAATTACCTCTACTGAGAAACCTTGTCTTACTCTTATAGACCATTCTGGCTACAGTACCACTGTCACTAAATTAAGAGAGCTCACAGGGATCCAGGTTGATGGCTGTATCTAATCAAGCAAAGGAGTTTTCAAAGCTATGAGTGATTAAACCGAAACATAAATCTATTCTGTGCTGGACCGTAAAAGAGCTTCAGAGGCCTTTATTTCAGAAACCACATCAGACAAGCTTGTATCATAATCAGCTGGGTATGGGCTTATGAAGACCTTTTATGTGACAAGAGCAGTGCACAGCTAATTTGGCAGGAACCTTTCCAAGGTATTACAACCCTTGTTCATAAGATCATTACTAGAATCTGCTCACAAACCTTTACATCACAGACTGTATCAAGCATTGGACAAAACTAGTAAGTATCTGTGCACTGCTTGTTCAAAATACAAGTAAGGGACATAGGATCTTACTCAAAGTTTGCATATTCAAGCCAGGCTTTAGAAAGAGAAAGCTAAACAGATGATTCAAATTGAGGCACAAGTTGTGCAAGGCTGCAAATAGTTGCCTTAATAGTGTTTTCTGCTTTGCCTGCAGAAATCTCTTCCCAAATATACATAAAGACATCATTTGGTTGTACCTCCCATAGAAGAAATCTGTTCCTCCAGTGGTTTTGCCATAAAGAAACGTGCACTAAGATGAGAAGTCAGCCAGAATTTGAGAAGCCTGCTCAGACCCTGAAAGCACCTCTTCTGTTTGAGGAAAAGTCTCCCTATCTTCAAAGGCCAACTGTCATTCAGCTTTTCCAGCTCTATTCCTTTCCCGGTGATGCTCAGAGAGAAGTGAGAGCCATAGGGATATGTGGATTGACAGAGCCTCTGCAGCTACTAAATGATGCATATGGGAAAGCTCTGCTCTCTGATCAGTTCATTCTGAGGAGACTGGAACATAGCTGGGTGCCATAACATCAAGAGAATTCCATTCTTTCCCTTGGAAAAAGTTCCTGCTTCAGACTGAGCTTGTGGATGATGATGTCTGTTCCGACACCATACTGCAGCCTGAAAATAGCTCAGCTAGGAGAACAGCATCACACAGCTGGGAGCTTGGCTCATTTTAACCTGTAAAGTACAATATAATCAATGCTTTGCCAACAGCAGCTGTATCTGAATTGTCCCTAAAACTAGCTATAATGTACAGCCTGTGTTTATCAAAGTCTTCAGTACCCACTCTGTTGGTGCTCTTTCATATACATATCCAAGTGATGTTCATTGCCTGAGCTATGTAATTCACCTTGAGAGCAGTCACCCTGGAACTGTCTGCTTTACACCAGAAAAGGTGTGGATACTTAAGCAGAGGGCCAGCCCTACCAGGCCTACACTTCTTTTTATCAGAGCATCATTAAGGGACGGAAATCTGTTCCCAGACCCAAAGGAAGCATTAGCTAAAACCTCCAAGTAGTATCTGTTGTAGTCTCCTCTGGTACTTCTGATTTTTCTATATCATCTGAGACAATTATGTCCATACTTAGTAGAGAGAAGAGTTTTCACAGAAGAGGTTACAGCAGCCTGTATCTCCCACCCCTGAGAGTGTGCCAGCCTGGCAAGGGATGAGTTGCAGGCTTTGGCCACTTCTAAGTGTGAGTTTCCTGGGAACTATCATGGGTCTGATGCCAGTTTAATGCCTTGGTTTACTAGCAGAGACCATGAGGTTTCTACTCTTGCATAATGAGCAGAAAAATGGCATGTGATTTAAATACTCAGGACAGCTTGGACTTTATATATCCCACTCTGCTTGTGAGCTCTGGATGCCTAACAGATTGCGGACTGGTCTAACCTGCTAAACCATGGCAGACCATTGGAAGAGGTTTCTTCAAACACTTTCATTTTAATGAGATTTATGAAAAGACTCCTCTCACTGACCTTTTTTTATGATGCAAGGAGAATAATTCAGATATAAGTTAGCAAAAAAAAACTTACAGAATCACAGAATCCCAGCCTGGTTTGGGTAGGAAGGGACTTTAAAATTCACCTGGTTCCAGCTCCCTGGCCTTGTCTTCCCCTCATCCTTGTTCTGTTGCTTGTCATGCTGGTTGCCCACTGACCCATACGACTACTACTGCAGGTCTGTCATTTGGTAGGCTCTTATTGCTACCATTTTCAAAGCTCAAAGCCTCACACAGCTTTGAAACAAGGAGAGCCAGGGCTGCACTGAACCTCTATGAAGCCACATGTTCTATGTAGTCATATTAAGGAAAGGACAGAGCATCTGGCAACCTGCTCTAGGTGAAGATGGCCCTGCTCACTGCAGGGAGTTGGGTTAGATGAGCTCTGAAGGTCCCTTCCAACCCAAATTGTTCCATGATTCTATATGGTTGTATGTGTGTCATATTTTGACATTCTTTTTCTTTAGATCAAACATTTTCTGGGAAGCACAATCCCTCCCTGTGTTATTAGACAGTGAGAAAACATGGTTGTAACCTATATAGATGGCCATAAGTGACCCTAGAGGCTAACCTCTGCCAAGCATTTATATGCTAGCAGTCAGGGCACCAGGGAAAGCACTACATAACCCACTATTAACTGCATATATATACTTCTGACAGGCTGATAGAGCTTCAAGTTATCTATTTTTAATGCTCTCCATTCCTTCTCCCCCTATTAAGAAAGGATAAAAAGGTTCTGCTGAAGGGAAGTGCAAATAATGTGCAATACCATCACATGTAGCTTTCAAAACAGGACAGGGTCTTCCAAAGCAGATGAAATAATCAGCACTAACAAAACCATCAGCGCAAGCAGGGACTAATTATTAACCCACGCTAACAGAGGAAAGGAGCAGCATTCAGCTGAGTGTGAAAATTCAGAACCTCCAAATGAGAGATGTTCTAGCTGGAACCTAGCAAACGTCCGAGCCCTCCCCTGCTCACCAATGTGTCTTTCCTGCCTGTCAAATGCAGTGGACTGACAGGCA